CTCTACCCACTAGATGCCACTAGTAACCCCTCCAAGTTTTGCCAAACAAAAATATTCCCAGACATTGCCAGATGTTCCAGAGGGGCCAAACCCCCCTAGCTGACAATTGCTGAGCTAACAGAATGTTAATGGATGGGTCAAGAGCAGAAGCCTTACATGTGCTTTAGCAATTTGGCCTGTCTCTGGCACTTCAGTAGCCTGCCATGAACAGAGAAGCTCCAAGTAGCTGCTGCCGCTTTGAGCTGAATTCAACAGGAACAACCACTGGCAACCAGCCTAGACTGAGGCTTAGATAACCTCGGCTCAGCCCAATCAGCAGAACCTTAGCCAACAAACAGTATAGACTCCAGAGCACAGAAGCCAATCTGTTATTCTAGGGCACTGTGTTTTAGGATAGCCTGCTATGGAGCTTTATTGTGGCACCTGTTGACAACACCAGTAAGGGGGTAAGGTAAGTCAGGATTCTAAATCTAGGCCTGTCTAGCTCAAAACCCCACTATTATCTCCACTATGTTAAGCTTTCTCAATGGAATTAATATCCTCACCCCCAGGATGTGATTGGTACACACTAGAGTACATTTTCAATGAGCTATTGACACTACCTTCTCCTTCCCACATCAGGCCACTGATTAAAACACATTGTGCAGGACAACAATGTACAGTACTGCCTCCTTTCTGAAACACTGAGTCTGAGACTTTCTCCTCCTATCATCCCAGAGCTGTACACAGCCAAGCCCAAAACAAGAGCTCCGAAGGAACACTTGTATAAATAAGTTGTTATGTGCAGATGCAAAGGTGTGTATGTTTTTTTTAAAGGTTTACTAATATTTCAAAGAATGAGCCTTTCACAGAGATACACACAAAGATATTTATTGTCCATCTAACATTACCATGTGGTTAAGTGGAGACATGAAAATATACAAAACCCCCACCACCACGGAGCTCACATTCCGGTGACACTTACACAGTGAAGAGGAATCTTCTACATGCCTTGCATGCATAAACTCACTATAGCTTCTCATAATCCCATGGAACAGGAACCCTATTACCATCTCCATTACAGAGGTGAGGAAACGGAGGACCAGAAATGCTAAGTAATTTGCCCAAATTCAGAAAACAAATAGCAGAGCCAGCCAGAGGTCTTGGTCTGAGTCCATACTTGGGCAGCACTGCCCCTTTGAAACTTTAATATTAATAATACAAGCGTTTTTTAATCAAGTGGAATGAACTCACTCACAAAGTCCAGCTTATATACAAATGGGGGGACATATGTAATGACTTCTAAGATTTAAGTGGCCAATATCTAATACATAATTCTGAAATCTTTTTCCATACTGCCAAAATCTACAGACTCCCTTGATATTAAATTTCATATTTAAATTTTTTAGAGGTGAGATAAAGTTCTTAACATATGTCATAAAACAGTACTACTCTATTGGTGTGTATTGATAACCTCAAAGAAGAAAACTCAAAAATTACATGCAGATCCCCAAACTCAAATTTTTTTTTTTTTTTTCAAGACTAGTTTATTGATTTCTAGAGAGAGGGGAAGATAAGTGAGAAACACTGATGTGAAAGGGTAACAGTGATAGGCTGCCTCCTGCACAGGGTATGGAGCAGAGGGTATGGAGCCACTACGGGGCATGTGCCCAGACTGGGAATCTGACCAAGCTACCTTCCGGTGCACTGGACGATGCCCAACCAACTGAGCCACACTGGCCAGAGCCCAACTCAAATTCTTTTAACAAATTTAAAGTCAAGGCATTAGAAAAAATTACCTGGAAAACCAAAATAGTTTTATATTAACAAACTTTTCCTCCTATAAATTATAACTAAGTTTCCCATTTAAATAGTTTTGTTAAAATGGGTACTTTGAGCCCTAACTGGTTTAGCTCAGTGGATAGAATGTCGGCCTGTGGACTGAAGATCCCGGGTTCGGTTCTGGCCAAGGGCATGTATCTGGCTTGCAAGCAAATCCCCAGTGGGGAGTGTGCAGGAGGCAGCTGATCCATGTTTCTCTCTCATTGATGTTTCTAACTCTCTATCCCTCTCCCTTCTTCACTGTAAAAAATCAATAAAATATATTTTTTTAAATAGGTATTTTGAGGTTCTAAGAGTTGTCTACAACTCATAAAGCCACCTATTTGACATGCTTGTACCTGGATGTCTGACTTCAAACTCAACACCTCTAAGTCAGAACTGCTGAACACCCCCCTCCTTAGCCTGTTCCTTTCTGGTCTTTCCTAGCTCAGGAACTGGCGATTCCTGTAAATCCAACTGACCAAAACCTCTGAGCTACTCATGACTTTCCTTCACACCCCATTATTCAACCAACAAATCCTTTTGGCTGTAAGCGAACAATCTATGTAGGATCCAAGTATTTCTAGGTCCTCTTGTTCAATTTCCCTGCTGTTCCCTAGGTCAGTGGTCTCACGAGCCACATGCGGCACTTTGGCCCTGGAGTGTGGCTCTTCCACAAAATACCACGGACTGGGCTCGTCTATTTTGAAGAAGTGGCGTTAGAAGAAGTTTAAGTTTAAAAATTTTGGTTCTCAAAAGAAACTTTAATTGTTATACTGTTGATATTTGGCTCTGTTGACTAATGAGTTTGCCGACCACGAGGGCTAGGTGGTCTCTTTGCTACCACACAGCAGCCAGAATGAATCTATTAAAACCCAACCAAGCTCATTTACTCTGGCTCAAAATATCTGAATGCCTTAGGAGAGTAGCTGACATCCCTACTGGAGCCCACAGCCCCAACGTAGTATGTATGGCCCCTCTGCACACTCTAACCTCATTATCTTACCACCCTTCCCCACATGCTATTGTCAGAGTCGCTGCGCTTGCTCACTCTGCCTGGAATGCTCTCTCCCAAGGTGATGTTCATGCCCACTTCCCTGTTTTTTACAATAAACACATCCTCACCATGGGTCTGCTTACCCCACTTTATTTTCCTCCACAGCACTGACTGCACCTGAAGTAAGTATCCATGTGCTTACTGCCTGTCTCTGTGAATGCAATGCCTGTTTCACAAAAGCAGAGACATGTTCCGTTTGCATTTTACCTGCCTCCTGGAAAAAAGCCCCGCAAAAGGACTGTCTTCACCTGTCTGCTTGGCTTAGCCAATTCCTGATGACATAGAATGAGAGCAGTGCTGCTCACACTGAAACGCATCACAATCCTGTGGGGCTGGAAGGCAGACTGCTGGGGTTCCACCACCCAGGGTTCTGATTCAACTAGATATCAGAGTCCTAGAGCCACATTTTAAGAACCACTCATCTAGACAATGTTATGACCACTCACCCCTTTTGTTTTTAAAAGAAAAATGAGGACCAAGCAGATCAAGGTTATATACTCTAACAAGGTCTTAAAAGAATCCTATGTTAATGACTAAGGCTGAAACTTTACCCTCTGGAGTTTAAACAATCAGATGAGAAGGCTGACCCCTTTTAGGAGATAATAGAATACCAAACAAAGCTGACTTCAGCTGAGACAGCTGCCAAACCACAGTTTCTCATCTCCAGGAATCATCCCAATAACCAGGGCATGTCCCCAGTCACGGCAGCTTCGTCTAAAACACATTCTCTCAGAATCTGAAGTTAAGATAAAGTCTGAAAGGCACTGATTCCAAATTGTGTTAAGAGCAAGGCTTGCAACAGAGAAGGTCCAAAGCCTTCCTAAGTCTCACAGCTGCCCTGACTCCGGCCCAAACCCTTTTCACTGCACCCAATTATCTTCCACCAAATTCTTTCTTTGCCTATGTTAACAATAATTTTTGTACATTTGCAATCAAAATTACTTATAAAAACACTAAATGTGTTAGATTTATAAGAAATTGTATTAGAAAAGCAAATTGTGAAATATCAAAGCTTTTTTCCCATTATTCCAACTTAAGACATTCATTTCCCTTCTCTAGATTAGTATATTGTAAATATAATCATTGAATTTTAAGAGTACATTACACATAATAATTTCTGACCTTGTAATAATGCCAACTCTTTCTCATATTTCAGAAAAGTCTTTAAAACCTAGCCAAAAGCCACCAATATGCCTTTATTAATCAATAGGTAGTTGATGCCTATTACGTCCAACCATGCACACCTGCAATAGCAATTAATAACAAAAACAGGTTCTTGAGTTAAGTGCCTTTAAATACCTTGCTGAGTAGAGAAAGAAAAATATCAGGTAATAAAAGCTATTGCAGAGAAATAAGCTTATGTGAAACAATGAGTGTCCAGGTTGCTTTTAGATAGGATGGCCAGGAGAGGCCTCTCTGAAGTGACATGTAAGCTAAAACGTTAATGACAAGACGCCAGCCAATAGACATCAGTGTATAGCTAACACATAGGTGTTAGGCTGTGAACAGTCTCAGCTTATTCTAAGAGTCAGTGTATTGAGAAAGAGAAAGTCATTTACAACAAGTCACAGAGCCAGAAAGGACCAAGTAGGGCTGTGTGACAGAAGGCAGAGTTTGGAGGTATTTATACATGAACTGTGCAGAACAAGGAGGCTACCTGCAACAAAATGCTTCTACAGAACAGTTGAGCAGGGATTAAAAGTAACAAAAAATAAGTTGTGAATAGTTATCACAGAAATTTTAGAGCCGAACAGACTCTTAGCTGTCACGTGGTCCAAACTCTCATTTTACTAACAAGACAATGTGGCCCAGGCTGTGGCTTCTTTGAGGTCAGGTCACAGAAGAGCTAAGAGTTGTACTTAGTGCTCTCAAACATTCAGGCCAAAGCTCTCTGCGTAACTCTCGTCTTGATCTGAATCTAAAACTAAGTCTTTACCATGTACATTTCCAAGTGACATAGCAGCATTCAGATGAAAACATTCTTAGAATTTTTTAGTTATCCAGGCCAAATTATTCACACCTCTAGGCCTCTCATGAAATTATTTCAAAATGGATGACAATGCTAAAGTGTTTACCATCAAATATACAGTATTCCAAAATATGTACAGCAGAAAAACTATTGAATAAAACAAAATATACTTACATCTGGGTATTCCTTTACAGGCACATAAAGTTTCTCTTGTAACTGAACAATAGGTCCCACAGCATCAGGCAATTCTGCACTCCTCTTCTCTGCACTGCCATTCAATGTATCGTTGTACATGTCTTTCCGTACTCTGCTAATTTCTGTGAAAAAAATTTTTAAATGAGTTAGACAAAAATATTCTTGCTAGTCCAGGAAACAAAAGGAGGTAGAGGGATTTCATTGGTAAAGTATTAAAATTCAAAGAAGTAAAGAATTGTTGACCTATTCTACCATTCTCTGTATTAAGTATGTTTAACAGGACTAAAGCCTCAAGTTTATTTCTATTAGAAATCAAATTTAAAGACCAAATAACACATTTTATTAAAACTAACCTCAGAGCCCAAGTGCTTATCCACTGTGATATAGATCTGTTATTTTATCTAATTCTCCATGCATACGTGCGACCAGAAATTCCAAATGAAAGCTTCATTCAAATAAGTATCATAAGAATGCCTATCAGACAAAACTTAACACCAAAGGCTGCCTTCTACTTCGGATACACAGATTTTAAGTTCAGCAGAAGACTGAATTTGGTATTCAAATTCAGTGTTTAAAGCTTTAGGCATAAAAGAGGTACGTTAGAAGGGTATAGAGAGAAGGCAGGACTGAATGAACCTTCGGAAAAGCAACATTTACAGGGTGCGGAGGAGAAGATGGAAACCAAGAAGAAAGGAACTAGATAGAAGTAGAGAAGAAGTGTCAAAGAACTAAGAAACGACTATTACTATACTTTGGGTGTAATAATAGGTGGTTATTATTACACCTCAATTATAAATACAACACGGTAATAAGGATTGCCATTATTAAATTAGCTGTCATCATTTCTCCATATTATAGAATGTAACCTCCTTGGGGAAAGAGTTTGTGTCCAGTAGGATTTAAAAATTAAATGTTTTTATTTTTAAAATGTACTTGTTTTCCAAACATGGAATTTCAATATATTATTGTTATTAAGGAACTATCAAATATCACTTTAATTTTATTTAAATCACTTTCAGCTAAATAAAATCCAACACAGCAAAAATGCATCAAAAGTGTTCTTAGTTAGTCATTAAATCTTAATCAGTGAAAACACTATATTCTAATACAGTTTCTGCTTCAATGATGGCAATATCCATTTTATAACAAAATTTTCTCTTAAAAAACAATTTGCCTATCGGAGCTAAACAAATATTTGTTTCTGAAAGCAAATGAAATTTTCAAAAAATCAAAAGAAGGTATCCTGAATTGAACTATAAGGACAAGATCTCTTTTATTTTATGTATTTCCAGTTTCATAATATAATCTTTCCTAAAGATGGCCAGTATCAAGTTAGTATTTTTCTTAAATTAGCATATGACAGTAATTCTCAAATCAAGTTTTCAACAAACAAGTAACATCTGAAACATAAATATTGTTTAGGTAATTACAACAAGTAATGAGCCAAAGGGAATTAGAAATTTTTAATCTAATTAAAAGTACACATATATCCTTTGGTCCTAGTCTCTATACAAAAGCACCTTCAGTATTAGTTTATTACATTTAAATATTCTTTGAACTTCTCACAATAATACAATAGTTGGGGGGAGAGGTGTGATTTTCCAGGTAAACATTTTATCAAATTAAAACACACACACACACACACACACACACACACACACGAAAATCAATTATAAATGAGAAAATTCAGATGCCTAGATTAAGAAACACATAGAGCCCAGCTGGTGTGGCTCAATAGTTGAGTGTTGACCTATGAACCAGGAGGTCAAAGTTTGGTCAGGGCACATGCCTGGGTTTCCAGTTCAACCCCTAGTAGGGGGTGTGCAGGAGGCAGCCAATCAATGATTCTCATCACTGATATTTCTATTTCTCCCTCTCCCTTCCTCTCTAAAATCAATAAAAATGCATATTTTTTCAAAAAACATAAACCCAATAACCTTCACATATCCAACTAGATGATATAATGGAAGACATATTTACAACTTAAACTATCCTACCTAATAAAAGAGTAATATGCAAATTAACCATAGCTATGCTACACTCACAAGCCATGCCCACAGCCAGAGTATGCAAATTAACCCCAACCAAGATGGCTGTCACCACAGTTTCTCTGGCAATGGAGGAAGCCAAGCTTTCCACACACCCTGGCAGGCTCAGGCCTACACTCAAGAATACCAAAGTTTCATTATAGAAGATAAAACCCAAGAAAAATGGCAGCAGGCACAGAGCTGTAGAAAGTAGGCTAGGGTTGCCCCCGGCTATGGAGGAAGCCAAGCTTTCCACCTGCCCTGGATGGCCTCGGCCTCCACTCCAGGCTACAAAGTTTCAATTATAGAAGATACATAAATTCCAATAGAAATGGCGGCTGCCACAGAGCCACCAGAAGGCTTGGCTTCGCTCTAGGCTACAAAGTTTCAATTTTAGAAGATAAACCCCAGATACAGGCCTCTATCCTATCTAATAAAAGAGTAATGTGCAGATTGACCATCACTCCAACACGCAAGATCAAGATAGCTGCCTATATGTGATCAAAGATCCTGCTCCCATGTGAACACAAGATGGCCACTACAAGATGGCCATCAGGGGAAGGCAGTTGGAAGGGACCTGGCCAGTTGGGGTTGATCAACTCTGCAGGGGAGGGCAGTTAAGGGTGACCAGGCCGCAGAGGAGGGAAGCTGGGGGCTTCCTCAACTGCTGGCAGGGGAGCAGTTAGACATCAATCAGGCTGGCAAGATATTGGTTAGGAGGTGATCAGGCTGGCAGGCAGAAGTGGTTAGCAGTAATCAGAAAGGCAGGCAGGCAGGCAGTTGGGAGCCAGCAGCTGGAGAGTGCACAAGGCCAGGCTGAGGGACACACCCACCCCCTATGCACGAATTCCGTGCGCCAGGCCGCTGGTAATTCTACAAACATTTGTGTGATTCCTTTATTAATAACTGAAAGTTCCGTGAGAATCTGTTATCCTCTGTCTTCCCAGCTTCTAAAATCCCACCTGGAACATACTGGGCAGGGTCCTCAATTACTCCTCGGTAGATTGGGTGGGTAGGTGGGTGAATGAAGGGAGGAATGAGCTAGGTTCTAGGGCATTCAAGTTAAACAAATCATGATTGCAGCTCTCAAAGAGCTTAGTCTACTGTGAAAGGCATATAGACAAGCAGATAAGCTAAGGCCTATGAGCAGTGAGGGCACAGAAAGTGGGAGCACAAACAGGCATCATCAGCTAGTGCAGGGAGCAGGGTCAAGAAGGAAGTCAAGAGGAGAGAAAGTCAGATAGTGTTCCAGTGACAAGGAGCCAGGTAAAGCAAAAGCACACTCGGTATACTTAACATTCCATTTTCTCAAGATAAAAAGTCTTTTTACCATGTTTCTTTCAGTCCCTGTAATATACCACTCAATAATAGAACACAAATTCTGTATGAAACAGTGCACATAAGAACAAAAGATGACTAAGATAGTGCTAGTTCTCAAGGGACTTACAATCTAATGCACGGTAGATCTCACCAGCTGAGAATGAGTACTACCCTTTATTAACAACAACTTTCTAGCCAGAAAATAATTAGCACTTCTTGGCATGTTATTTGTAACACTCAAGTTAAAATAGGTTTTGGTTTGAGTTCTAACAGCAATTGCTTGTGGGATTTTAGACCAGTTTCTTATTTAGCCTTTATGTGCCTGTACCTCATATACTAGTAATTAGAGGCTGTTTTCTGAGGGACTCAGTTGAATCCATTGGTTTCCAACCTCAGTGCACAAGGACTCCATTTATTTTCCCTCATGTTTTAAAAAGTTCTGCCTCCAAAATTTTTCATTCTATAAATCCTGGTGAGCAGAGCTTTGGTTTATGTTGATATCAAGTGATATAATCACAGCCAAAGAGGCATGTTATAAGTATGGGTGACGTTCTAGTTCCTTCATACATGGTGGATTCACAGATGCTTCTTTATGAAACAAAGAAGTACTTCAAAACTAGTATGTTTCATATGTTCTTCTGTTACATCAAACATTACATGACAATGCTCTAATGTTCCCTCATCTCCACACTCATTACCTACTTCAAACCACAGCTGTGGTTCAGAGAACTATAAAAGTTCAGAAACTTTTGTTTACTCACCTAGTATGAAAATTCTGCCATTTGTGACAACATGAATGGACCTTGAGAACATTATGCCAAGTGAAATAAGCCAGTCAGAAAAAGCTACAAACCATACGACTTCACTTGAGACATTAAAACTGAACCTCGTGAACACAAACAGCAGTGTGGTGAGTGGCAGAGGGAAGGGGCTGGGTGCTGAAGGGGCCTAATACATGGTGACTGAAGACTTTACGGTGAGTGGAGCGCACACAGTGCAACATACAAATCTTGTATCATAGAAATCTACAACTGAAACCTGTACGATCCTATTAACCAACGTCATCCCAATACATTTTAGATAAAAAAAATAAAAAATAAAAAATAAAAAATTTACCAGATAAATCAGCATTTTCCAATGTTTAAAAATAGGTAAGTAAACATTCCCACCACCTTAACCCAAAAATATCCCTAAGATCAAGACAATTTTGTTTTAGGCATCTCTGAAGTTCTTAAATGTTACAAATTTATTTTCCCGAGCCAAAATCTTTCCTAAACTTTCTTCCACCCCAATACTCCAAAGCTCATAAAGTAGGCCAAATGCCTCTTTCAAATGAAGACAGCCCTACAATATTTGAAGAGTTTTTCATACTAATTTGAAGAGTTTTTCATATTAATTTCATAAAAATTTTCATACTAATAAATGGTTAGATATCTACAATAGATGGTTAATTTGTCTTTGTCCCTTTTAATATAGAAAATCCTATGTCATACACCCTTCCCTAACAACTGGTAAGTATAAAGACTGAGGCTGCCCCCTTCCAGTCTCAAATATCCCACCTTCCAGCGTGTTCAAGAATACCCATCCACTTTGCTGAGCACATCACACTGCTGACATGCTGGTGGTGGTCCCAATCCAACCTCCACCATCGATACTATTTTGTCTCCACAGATGCATACCTACTGAGTCAATTAAAAAATTATTTGCGGTTCTTTTCTACTAGACATGGCCCTTCAGGCTTGTTAATCTATCAGTTGACATTCTTTAGGAATGAC